TTCACAACATATATAAATCAACTCAGTTTTTAACGCTGATTCCGAATCTGATATTAGTTTTGAACCAAATCGTAGCTTTCTAACAAAACATCCCCTGAAAAAGGTCTCAAAATGCAGAAAAACTGCATGAAGAAAGCAAATAGACTAGATATGTCTCAGATGATAAAAAAACAAAGTGAATATCCCTGTTCACTTTTTGAAGTACACATAACACTCGGATTTAAATCCGATGTTTTCGCATTTTTTTTTTTTTTTTTGTTTGATTTCGAACTTCAAACTATTGCATATAAACTCAAAATAATTAGATGGAATATTAGCTCTGATTTAATAGAGATATCTTTGAATCAAAGAGTCATACTTAAATATTCGAACAACTTTGAAATTAAAATGATACCCTTATGAAATAAAAAGCATTCAATACAAAATAGAATAAAACATTTGAAATGCAAGAATATGTTTATAAAGTGATTCTATTTTGTAAAGAATTACAAATATAGAACTGAAAATATCTTTTGTCAAAAAAAAAAAAATGAAGTAACTATTTAAGCCCGAATAATAAATATCTAATTGTTTCTCATATAACCATTCATTGCAATAATTCGATTTTATTTGTTTATGACATCGACGGAAGAAAAAACTTATTTTTACTAAAAATTTAACCGTTTATTGGATCTATATAAGGATGAAAATACCTATATGCCCAAGCACAATTCATTCAGACAAATTTTTCAAGTAAGCCCTCTAAGAAAATATTGACTATTGATTTACAAATGCTTTTGTACATTTAATCGAATCTTTTCAAGTTTGGTAATGCGCTTCATTGACTCGAATTCGAGTATATTTATATATACTTGAGGATATTCTTCTGAAATATTAATATACATCTTTTCTAATGTATACTTCTAAGATTGGAATAGAAATATAGACTAATCGATTGAGTAATTCTCATCGGGAAGTTTATATTCTGTCGTTATTCTTCCTCATTTCTATTTAAAAAAATATTCTCGAATAAAACTTCATCTATCACTATCGATCGATATATTAACTTAAATTCTCTAAGCACAAAGTAACAATGTAATATAAAGTTTACCCTAGAATATAATTTAATGACTGGAAAAATTATCCGTTTTGAAAAGAAGTTCACTATAATTATTGATGATTCATCATTGATATTAATTGGTTGTTGTTTTTATCCAATCATATATATGTACTTGTCAGAGAGAAAAAAAATATTTGTTTTTCGAACTTCGAACCATCTATAATTTATGTTTTTTTTCTATTCCAGAAATTTTGTGTGACTAATCATTGAGTTTCTTTTTTTTTTCTATTGCTCTATCAATCATCTATCGTTTTTATTGTTAAGCCATCGTCTAAACGATAATACGTCTTTTGCATCATCAATATTTCTTACCTTTGTTTTTTTCTAGTTAGTTATTATAGCAACGAAATGGATTCTTCAGATGACCTTGATGAACGTCGACAACGTAAATTAGCTCAAATGTCACGTCGTGATGAAGAACGTAAATTAGATCTTCAAACAAAACAAGATGAAAGAAAATTAGCTACATCAACAAATGTTGGACGAAAATATTTTGAACAAGAATATCCATTAATGAAAAGTCAAACTGAAGACTTATTTAGTCAATTATCAGTTAATCATGATGAAAAATTCATGCAAGAATTAGCTGATCGTTTACAACAAATGGAAAAATTTATTACTGAGCATGTTGATATTTTACGTTCACGGGATATTGCTAATGCACAAAGTAATATAGGATTTATTAATATATTATAAAATCTATATATATATATATATGTAAAAATTTTTAGGTGATGTCATGAAACTTCGTGCACAATTACATGCATTACAATATCAAAATCTTTCATCAAGTCATCGTATGGATTTTACAAAAAGTAATGAAGAAAATTCAAAACAAGAACATGAAGAATCAAATTTAATAACTCCATCAACAAACATAATTGTTTCATCAAATACAATAAATATATCAAATAAAAATAATGAATTAATACGTTTTGATTCATCGGCACTTAATGGAAAAGATGTTGCTATTGAAAATTTAAAACAATGTGAATTATTTCTTAAAGGTGTTCCATCATCATTACAAATTAAAAATCTTCATGCTTGTATACTTATTGTTGGTCCTTGTTCACGTTCAATACTTATTGATCAATGTGAACAATGTGAATTTGCATTAGCATGTCAACAATTACGTATACATACAAGTAATGAATGTGATTTTTATGTTCATATAACAGCACAACCAATTATTGAAGATTGTCATAATTTAAGATTTGCACCTTATAATGTTGAATATAATTTAAAAGATGAACACATTAAACAAAGTGGTCTTATGTGGACAAAAGATTATTGGAATGATGTACGAGATTTTAATCATATGATAGTTGGAATGCCATCACCAAATTGGCAAATAATTGAAGAAGAAGAAAGAAAAGAATGGTCACTTGATTGAATGATCATTTTTGTTGATGCGTTTTGTTTTCTTTTTCGCATTCCATTGTGATAAAAGATGGACAATATACTTAGGAGAAATAAAAATAAATATTAATACGTCATCATTTATCTTTATTATCAGTATCAAATTTTCTTTATTCTCTTTTTTTCTTCTTCAATTTCGTATTATGTATACTTGTTCCATGTGTTTTTCTTTTTTAAATAAGTCAATACTATTTCGTTCTATTGTGAAGAATCTCTAACTCTCTACTTAGATCAATTTTTGATATTAAAAAAAAAAAAAAATTTTCTTGGATAGTCAAGACCAACGACAATATATAATTTTTTTTTTTTTTTTTTTTCATATGTTTTTAGATATATAATAAATTCAAAAATGATTGAATCATCAAAAACTTCAGATGAGTATGATAAAGTAGCTATACTCGATGCTGGTTCACAATATGCTAAAGTAATTGATCGTCGTATACGTGAACTTTCAGTTTATTCAGAACTTGTTCCTTTACAAACATCTGTTACTGAATTACTTTCACGTAAATATAAAGCTATTATTATATCTGGTAGTCCTGGTTCAGTTAATGATCCGAATCCAGTTTACTATGATGCACAATTATTTAATTGTGGTTTACCAATATTAGGTATTTGTTATGGATTACAAATGTTAAATAAAGAACGTGGTGGAACAGTTGTACGACAAGCTGTAAGAGAAGATGGACAATTTCAAGTTGAACTTGATATAACATGTTCTCCACTTTTTAAACATATGAATAAATTAGAAAATGTTCTATTAACACATGGTGATAGTATTGAAAAAATTGGAGAAAATTTAGTAGTAATTGGTAAAAGTGAATCATTTATTGTGGCTTGTGCCGATCAAGAAAAACCTATTTATGGTCTTCAATTTCATCCAGAGGTAAATTAATCGTATAAAGAGTGTTTCATATAGGGTGTCCAGAAAGTTACTAGAGATATTTGAAAATTTTCTTCATATTTTAACCTAATGTGTTGATATATTCACCACTAATAGAGAGGAGTGCTCATTACTCATATTCATAACAGAAACATTTACAAAAACTATTCTGAAGTATCACAAGTAACTTCATTAAAAAAAAGGTATGCTCTATCCTGGGTTATGATAAAACAATGTATCTATTTCCTACTCAAGAATAAACTTCAGTCTCAAATTTATTCCAGAGATAGATGTTTTGCTATTCTTTGTAAGCTGAAAGTTTCAGCAATAAATAGAATTAGCTTGTTGAGAAAACTGTAATATTGGTTTTTCGTCACCCATGAAAGGTTATACTTCAAAACAGTTTTTGTCGATATTTCTCTTATGAATATGAGTACTGCATAGCCCTCTATCGGTAGTGAAAATATCAACCAATTAGGCTAAAACATGGAGGAGATATATAAATTTTTCTATCTCTAGTGACTTTCCGGATACCCTATATTAGTTTCGACCTCATTTTTTTTTCTATCTTTATTGAATTCAATGGTGGAGAAGTATTGAATACAAAATATATATATATATATAGATTTCAAGAATAATATCTAAGCAATTAATCAAACAAAAGATTGCATTGATTTTGCTTCAATCATAAGAGAGAATTACATCGATAAAAATGTTGGCAAAATCATTCTTTTATTTTTTCTCTATGAGGATTGAAAAAGAAATAGCTATCCATTACTCGTTCACTCACTGCTAGTCACTTCTATCGTTCTGTTCTTATTAAATATGCACACGATAGTTTTGGGACATGGACCAACACTTTTCCATTGGGAACAATATCTTTTCTTGAGTAGAATGTCATTTTGTTACAACTTATGTGTTCTAAATAAATATGATTACAATGATCCCGCCTGACCGAGACCAAATTTTTTGTGAAATTCGATCTAAACAAAGTGTTGAAATATGTAGGATACAAATTGTATCTCCTCCTTTGTATCTCAGACTGTGACAAATGTTGCTGATATGCGATCAAAGATCGTATATGAATAACACCTCGCTGTAATATATCAACTACTTCTTTATTTCATTTGTGAAGGATTAAATAAAAAGATTGATGACGAAATATATGCCAAAATAGATAGAATAAAGCAATCATCCTATGATTAGCAAGAGTAGTAACATCATATTGTCTAGTTTAAATCTACATGGATTACATTAACTGTTTTTTTTTTTGACCAAGACCCGGATCAAAAACGAATGGTCCCACTTATATCTAGTCCTTATTGTATGCTATTCAGATGAGAAAAAATTCGGATTCGTATGTATATTGTAGAGTTATGAGTGTGAATTTGATTATTATTTTCATCAGCAACAAAATTTACACCACGGAAAATATACACGTAAATAAGATTTTTTCTTATTTGAATAGCATAGAATAAGAACAGAACGATAGAAGTATCTCGCAGCAGGTAAATGAGTAAGAGTGATTGTTGCTTTTTTTAACCCTTTCTGAATAGGATTCTATTTTGCGCAGCAAAATAATAAAAATCAAAGTAGTTAAAGTAAATTAGTTTTTATTTCAAATCAGTGATATTGACCTTACAAGGACTAATACGACACACCTATATACTGCTCGTATTAAATCATAGAGCAAATTTCAATAAGATCAATGATTATATATTACGGATCAATAGATCTGAATTCATTCCAAAACGGGAAATGTCTATATCGGTCTTTCGTCCTGAAAGGGTTAATCCTGATAGGAAAAGATTGAAAAAAATAACTTTGCCAAAATTTTATCGATGTAGTCCTCTTTTAGGATTGTTGCAAATTGAATGTAGTTTCTTTTTGTTTCTTTGATTCATAGCGTAGATGTTACTCTTGAAATACATATATTCAATATCTTTTCACCATTGAATACGGCAAAAATAGAATAAAAGTCAAGTCGAGAATTTTGACGTACATATTATTTACAATGAATCACACAATAGTGAAAAATTTTGTACGATTATAAGTTTTATTTTTATTAATTTATGTTTAGTGTATTCGATGATAGTTCATAGAAAAGGTAGAATTATCAAGTTTAGTATACAAGTTTTTTCTTTCTTATCTTAAAATAATTACTAACTGAAAAAATTTATCAGTCAGCAAAATGCTAATTTTCAAACGACGTGTTTTATAATGCACCATGTAAAAAGAAAGTGTTGTATAATAATATGAGAAATTTTAATAATTCAATTTTATAATAAAAAAATAAATTACATTGCTTTATCTTTTCAAGTTCGAAATATTCGTAAGAGATTTCAATCCGTTTTTTTTTCGTTTGCAACCTTCAGTTTCTTCTGTTCGACGTATACTTCGAAATGTTTTGTATCTATTGGATAAGCTTTCACAATTTAAAGATAGATTTTTAGTTAAAATATGTAAGAAAAAGCTTCTAATATAGGTGACTTTCCTATCTCACTGAAGAAAATATTCAAGAATTTTGAGTCTATGACAACTTTTACTCTACTCATTGAGATCAATCTACCTTGAAAGTTTCAATTTTTTCTAAATGAGTTTTTCTTCAAAAGTATCAAAAACGAGGAAATTCAATGTGTTTGTCATAATCAGTTAGATGAAAATAACAGTTAAACTATTCGTTTTTCTGCTCTTCTATCACGAACCCACGACTATTGCATTTCAAACAGTTGTTGCTCCTCCAGCCAAGGTTATCAATATTTTTAAAGTATGAAAATTCTCGCAGAAGATGCTATCGTCCTCGAAGTAGTGATGGGCAGAGGGACAGAGTAAGAACAAAACTCGCCCTGGTTCGTGTACTTACACAGCAGATGATCTGCCATCAGATCTTCCTTCCACCGGAACCTACTCGAATTCTATTTACCTCGCAACAACATTATCTGCTTATTTTTATTTCATTTTCTACCCAAGAAAGGTAAATGGTCTTTCAAAATTCGGTTTCTATTCAAAGTTACTACGAAGCTGTAAAAAATTGATAGAAAGTTGGACCTTTTGGAGAAGGGTGAATCCGTGGGGTTTCTACCACTTTTGGGGAAAAAAAATTTTTTTTCGCTTTGAATAGTCTAGTTAGATGTATCATAGTCGAAAACGGTCTGAAGCAACAATTAAAACCTTTTTGGACATATAAAGTATGGAGAACCAAATCATTTTTTAGGAACACTCCACACACATGAAGAGTATCCTATAATAGATTGTTAATCATATTTTTCATACTTTTTGTTGACATAGAGAGCTGAAAATTTTATCACATATATATCTAATCAAGATCTTGTATTTCTGAAATTTTCAGCTCTCTAGCTAAAACTAACGGTGAAGTACATCGACAAGACTGAAATACATGAAGTTTCGTACTTGATTTTTGCATATTTTTACTGTTAAATTATTGGAAAAATCGAGTGCAAACTTTATGTATTTCACCATTAGTTTTAGCTAGAGAGCTGAAAATTTCAGAAACGAAAGATCTTGATTAGATATACATGTGATCAAATTTTCAGCTCTCTATACCAACAAAAAGTATGAAAAATATGATTAACACTTTATCATCTGTTATTATGGATTGCCCTTTATCGGTGTGGAGTGTTCCTAAAAAATGATTTGGTTCTCCACACTTTATATGTCCGAAAAGGTTTTAATTGTAGCCTCAGACCGTTTTCGACTATGATACATCTAACTAGACTATTCAAAGCGAAAAGAAACCTTTCTTTCAGAACATTGACACAGAATACCCTTCTTCCACAAAGTGGTAGAAACCCCACGGATTCACCCAGAAGAGAAGGGAAGCTTCCTTCCTCTCTTGAATTGAGAGCTCTTTCTTTAGCAACACTTACTCTGCATGAGCACTGAATAGAACTCATGTTGATTATAAGTACAATAGATAAATTTATTGAAATAAGATGTAGAAATCAACAATAGAATAATAAATTTTCTATCAATTTTGCAAATAATAAAAAATATTATACAATTAGAAACAAGCAACAACAACAGAAAAATAGAACGAGCGTGTAGGTATGCATGTTAACGAAGAGAAAACTCACATTCATCTCCATCCAATACAGTACTTGTCGTGTTAACCTTCTATCTTACTCATTATAAAATAGTAAAATTCATATCTTCTTTCATGTCAAACAGATATTAACGTTACTAAATTCTTTGTTTATAATACGCACAACTTCATCCTACTTGATATTTTAATTGAATAACACCTTTTTTGTTTTTTTTTCTTTCATTAGACTTTATCATTGAATGCATTAATATGTTTACTTAGAATAAATTTCTAACAGAGTTTATAATTCACTCTATCAATTACAAATGATTTCTTTTCTTTTCTTTATAATTATTATCATATTTCTCTTTAGGTTGATCTAACCGATAATGGTATGCAAATATTTAAAAATTTTCTTTTTGATATTGCACATTGTCAACCAACATTTACAATGGGTAGTCGAATTGAAGAAGCATTCAGTAGTATTCGATCATTTATTAAAGATCAAATTGTATTTATATTATGTAGTGGTGGTGTTGATAGTTCTGTATGTGCTGCTTTATTAACACGTGCATTACCATCTGAACAAGTTAAAATTGTTAGTATTGATAATGGATTTTTACGACATAATGAAGGTGTTGAAGTTCGTCAAACATTATCACAATTTGCAGCTGTTAATTATATTGATGCTGGTCAACGTTTTGCACAAGCTAAAACATTTGTACGTGCAAAAACAACATCATCAACAAATGAATCAACAGCAAATATTTCACGACGTACATCATCAATATCATCAAATTTTTTAAGTTTATATGATGCTGATATATTACTTGAAGAAACATTACCATTAAATGAAGAAACTGATCCTGAACATAAACGTAAAATAATTGGTGATACATTTGTTAAAGTTGTACAAGAATTTTTACGTGATAATAATTTTACATTTGAGGATATTATTTTAGCACAAGGTACATTAAGACCTGATTTAATTGAAAGTGCATCACATTTAGCATGTCAAAGTGGTTATGCTGATGCAATTAAAACACATCATAATGATTCACCAATGGTACGTGAATTACGTAAACGTAATCGTGTTATTGAACCATTAAAAGATTTTCATAAAGATGAAGTACGACAAATTGGTTTAACATTAGGTCTTCATCATGATGTTATTTATCGTCATCCATTTCCTGGACCTGGTTTAGCTATACGTATTTTATGTGCTGATGAACCATATATGCCTAATGAACAATTTTCTCAAACATCAACATTATTACGTACTATTGTTACTTATTCAAAAATGGTTGATAAACAATATGCATTATTACCAACATTAGATAAAATTTTTACAGAACATGAAAAAATAATTTTGAAAACACTTACATCACCTGATCAACATGATTATACATCAGTTGTATTACCAGTAAGATTATTTGAACAAAAATTTATTTTATTATTATATGAAAAGTATGAGATGTGAACAGAGATATGTGAAATCAAGTTTCGTTTAGTCTTGATAAGTCTAATCTAGTTCCGATCCTAGTCTTGAGAAAATTATTTTAGAATTTATTCCTATCATATCTAAAAAAAATCCTTTAATACTCGTTGTTTGATTTCGTTAGCCAACGACTAGCATCTTTTTGGATGATTTCTCTTGAATTATGTTCTGGTTGATATGATTAATAATATTTAAATAGAATCTTTAGTTCCGCCTAGTACAACGTTTTTTCTCGTAGTACCAGTCTCAGCCTTAGTAATTTCTGCCTATTGTGAGTCCAATTCCAAACATTGCTAGAGCAGCCTCCTTGAAGATGATAATTTTCTATTTATATCATTAAAAGATATGTGTTATAGAAAGATAAATTCAAAGATTTGTATTACTCTATTGAACTTTTATGTTAACTACTAATTAAAAATAGCTCATTTTTTTTTATTTTGGTTTCTCCAGACGATTCATACTTTTGTTCAGTGGCGGATCCAGGAATTTTTGAAGGGAGTGGCGGGTAAGAGAAAAATAAAGTCCAATAGGCGGAAGGGGTGGCGGTTTAGACAACAATGTAAGATATCCATGAAAAATCACTAGGAAACAACGTGAAGTTAAGTTCGAAGGGGGTGGCGGTCGCCACCCCCGCCACCCCCCTGNGCAAAGTGTCTACTCTCGAATGCACTATAGTTGATTGATTTTACGATGAGATTTAAGGATATTACGTAGGTTTTTCTGAACCTTCATATTGAAAAAAATAAGGTTATTAAAAACTTATTTTTCGTTTTTCTCAAAATCAGTTTTTTCGAGTATACCGTTTACGCTGGGAAACCTTTCTCAATAACGACTCAATATAAAAGTGGTAACATTATTTTTGTTATATAGCAGACACTTGAGGCTAGACCCTAATAGGGCCCGATTTGTGAATTTCTCCTTTGTTTAAGTAAAAAACTTAGATCTTTGATTTTAATTAGCGATTTTTTTGCCACGAATTTGAGAATTTTCCGGAAAAGTTTTTTTAAAAATCAAACAAAAGGAAATTAAAAAATCAGGCCCTATTAGGATCTAGCCCTACGTGTACTCTACAATTTAAAAACCACCCCGACATGCTAAGCTCGAATCCTCATATTGAAAACCTTCCCCGCGTAAAGGGTATTTTTGACCAATGAATTGACTATAACTCGTGAATGACACGCAGGTTTCGGGAGATATTTTAACCATAATCTATTCTAGCCAAGACTAGCATTCTCTGAAATTTTGGTTGAAATCGGATGAAAAATAACAAAGTTGGTTTCTGAGGGGGGGCTCCCGTTAATAAACTTGATGACAGATCCTGACAAAACTTGCCAGACAAATCTGATCTATTATGATTCGATGTAGTTTCATCTTCTCTTTTAAACGATGAAAACTGCATGTCTTTCTCTTGTTCTTATCACAGGTTATTCTAAAAATACCAATTCTTCGTTTATTTTGAAATGGATACTAGAGATGAAATAATCATAATGGTATCAATGTGTTTGCTCCTTTATGACAATTACGTCTTAATACCAGCTGTAAAAAGTTTCATAAAGAAAGTGCCCACAAGATGACGCCACACGATTTATTTTGGCTTCATTACATTATAAGCGATGCCATTCATAAATAGAACAGACTCTTCTATAGAAGACGGAGAGAGAGCAGTGGTCATCAATAACGATCGTAGAAGAAGAGAATGGGCACACGATGAAATATACAAAAAGAAGTGATAGTGATGATCTCCATGACACCTGTTCTAAGACAAAATTGCACAAAATTAAGAACGTCACAAACATATAAAACTTAGCCACTGCATTACTTGGAGCTTCTCTATGGGTTGCACAGCTCATGGGGAATGTGAGATGAGAATGTTTCTGTCATTCTTTTTCTCAAAATATGATGCTGATGACGAGTATACTGAGAACTGAGAAAAAGAGACGTGCTCTCTCTTCCATGCCAGCGACATTATTTGATTTTAATAGACATCAACTGCAGCAAAGTACAAATATGCTTAGATGATTTGTATTCCTACAGTACATGACATAGATAATCGAAGAGTGAATTTCATGACATTCCATTATCTTTTTTATTCTGATTCATGAACCAGAAATAAAACTTAGTTCGCACCTCGAATTCAGAAATCAGATTGCCATTATAAATTGTGGCAGACACTTTAACTTACAGGTTCCTCGACCTTTTCCAATGATTCGATCAACGTACAGATGTACCGTATGAAGTATACTATCGAGTTTCATACTTTAATTTCGAAAGAATTACACTGAAAACTTTCTAGCACATAACTTTCGTTTTGCATAGTCAGTTGAATATGGGTGTGGGTGTAGATGTTAATCTTCCCTCCATACATACCAAAACTCACACCAACACCCACACCCTCAAGCTCGATCTGCATGGTAAGTATCCACATTCTGTTTAGCCTCAGCAATCTCTCTATCAGTTTCTCGTTTTAGTATAGAAATGTTCTTGTCGAATTCTCTCTGGTCACGAGCTATCATCAAGTCTTGATCACGTTGATGTTCGGCCTGTTGTCGATCATCTGTTCGCTGTGCTCTTAGTTCACTTCCTTGATCGAAAGTAAGGACGACAGTAAAGATAGTCAATAGTAACGGTACAAGTAAATTACCAACAATTTTGAGCCAGCCTTACAGAGTCAAGCCATAGCACTCGCATATGTGATGACGACAGCAACACACTTCATTTGTTCTTTCCTGGTTTTCTACCGGCATAACTGACCCTTATATAACTAGACAAGTAAAAACACCGGACTCAAGATTGATTCATGCCATTTATGAAAAATATTATTCACAATTTCTATTCAATGACATTGTATTGACAATAACGTCAATATGTTGACTTCCGATTATTTTTCACACATTTTTTAGAATGCTCATCTGTTGTCACAATTGATTTCATACACTACATGATTTGCCACTAATCTGACTGATTGTGGATCGAGGAGAAAAAAAAATGGAGAAGATCAGAGCAATCGTGGAGTCAAGGGCCCACTTGTAAAATTCATCATAAAGTAGAACATTACAAAGTAAACAAAAACTATGATGAAATAACAATTTTCCAAACATTTTGAGGCAGAATTATAATACGTGTCTTCAAAATTTGTTTTCTATTTACATTGATTCCTAATCTATTTATTAAGTCCTATTGAACACCTCTGGATCTTGATGACTTTTCTTAAAACCATTCCAGCTCATGTTGATTCTACTACGGCGTTGTTGGCCTCATTTGGGTGTGGGTGTGAGTGGGTGTGGTCGGTGTGGGTGTGCGTCTTATTTTAATGTGCCCACATCCACACCGTCACGACAATCGAAAAGATATTCGAAGCCAAAATTAGACCGTACAAGATTTGATCTTTTGAATGGTAATAGAAGTTTTCTAGCTTTCCCATATATATATATACATATTTTTCATACTTTAAAATGATGAACAGTGAAAAAGAAAATACTGTCTTTTGTCTTTTTTTGAGAAACTATTCAAACACGTTATCGAATTACTGGATACCGCTATAGTGCATTCTATAAAGATCAGATTCAAGAGACATTAGCTGCATGTTTGTATAATGAAGGAACACGCAAATTGAAGAAACAAGCTATGCAACAACAACCAGAATAAAACATTACTGTATAAAATTCAACTCAAAGTAAATAATAAATGAATTATAGCATCTCGTAATTACTTTATTTGTAAGATTGATGACGATTGTACATATAATTCAATGAATTTGGTCCATTTATAGTATTTCTACTCAGATTAAAACGAAAAGCAAGCTGAACTTTTAAAACTGTAATATTGTCAGTTTTGTTTTTATTGAACTGTGAACATTAGCTTTTGCTATTTGTGATTTTTTTTCTGTATTTGTTGTTGTTTTCGTGTTGAACAAAAAATGAATAAAAAGTGAAACTTTTATTTAAAAACTGATAAAAAACGACTCACCTTAGTCAAGCTAATACAAGAAAAATTCAAATTAAAAAAAGAGGTGAAAAGGGATAGAAGACCGCGCCTTTAAGATTGATCACGGCTACAATACATCATTATACAACTTACCGTATCTACACTGTATAGCATCGTACAACGATCGGATATGGTCCGTTTATCATACGAATATAATACGGTACGTATTTCTGCGCCTGATAATACGATTTAGTACGGACCAGAAACGACACGAAATGATACTGTATACAGCCGTAAGTGCTCCGTTTTTTAAAGATTTACGGCCAGTTTTCTCATTGTAAACGGTATGTTTTGATCGACCTGGGAAGGACGAACAGAGAGAAAACGAACAGTAACAGCTGAAGCGATGTGAAGGTATGTGAACAACATGTTGGTAACAGTGTGCATGTGGGAGTAGGGCTCTTGGAGTGGAAGTGGGTCTTTCGATCTTCTGTTTAACAACAGTCGCAATTCACCGACATGAATACCCATATTGATACACTCTACAGCTGCTCTATCAAATAATGCACAGAAACCTTGGAAAAAATCGATTTAATTTTCCATTTGAAAGCATTACACGACAATTTTAAAGGATATTTGCTGTTTTATCGTCATGTAAAAAAATCAACATAGATAAAAGCGGGCTCTTAGTTCTTCTTATCATAGAGAATATTGTTTTTGTCATTCTTATCACCTTCTTGTCACATGAATTCATATTTTGTTGTTACAAAATCATTCTATTTGTGACTTTCTTTAGTAATTACAGTCGCATATCTTTCGAAAGCATTAACCATATTTTTCAAGTAATTTATTGGAATTTTTTGCATGAACGATAAAACATCGATATGCACCTGCAATCACTGATGATATATTATTTCTGGTTTATTATTTTTATTTTGTGTACATCATTAAGTTTTGGAAAGGATCATTTTCAGAAATCATTTCAACAAGTTCAAAAAACTATAGTAAATAATGCAGATGATACAAATCAGTTGTTATCTGAAAAGGAATTGAAACTAATTCGATTCATTTCATATTTAACCTATATGCAAACAACCACGACAAATATAACATGGAATGGTTGGGAAAAAAACTATGATGGTCCTCAACTTGATTTAGGCTCTATTCGATATACGTTAGCTCATATTGGTTATACAGCAGCAGCATTAGCTTATAGAACACCAAATTATCGTGAATTAACACTAAAAATATTGAAAGATTCGATCGAACGTATGCTAAAAATCAAAGTATGGGGATATATTGATCATTATTGGAAAAATGTACCTACATTTCCTGATCCTGTTTGTCATGAAAATATAATGTACAGTGGTCATTTATTGCAATTATTGACACTTTATGAAAGTATTTCAGGTGATTTCACATATGATATTGATGGATTCGATTTCATATGGGATAAAGATGAAGATCAAATAACTAAAATACATTACAATACAACAAAATTAGCATATGCTATTTATTACCAAATGTATGAAGAATCATCAGCTGGTGTATCATGTGAACCTGAATGGGTTTACACTATATGTCAAAATCATCCACATATTGGTTTCAAACTCTATGATATTGTTCGTAATGGTAAAACAAATTTTTCTCGAATATCATCCAAATGGAAAGATTTTTTAATAAAATACGCTCTAGAAGATATACCTGTTTTTAAAGAAAATCGATATTTTAAAATGTTATATTACAGACCCACTCACACATGGATCCCATATTTTGCAGCAACAGGTAACGATGGATGGGTTTTAGCATGGATGTCTTCATGGTTTGATCAGAATGAAACATCAAATTTTATTTGTGATGGATGGAAAATTATGTATAAAAATAGATACTGGAAACCATCAGAAAATCATACATTACCAGGTTGTTTTTTAGATAGTGGTGGTTATATTGGTGATCGTATGCAATTCAACAAATGGTTAGCAACATCATTTTATCCAATTGTTGAAAAACAATGTTCAATAGAAGTAACAGAAAAATTAAATTGTACTTATTCATGGTTTGATAATAATTTTGGAACATTCTTAGATACAGATAATGATGGTTATTTTGAATCATATTATTATGAAACAAATACGATGTTTTCGAATTGGGCTACAACAAATGTATTATTATCATTGTTGATGGGTGAAAATGGATATAATGCAAGAGGATTTCTACGAAATATTTATAATACAAGATTTTATCAAAAATTTCTTGATCATGAACCAGAAGTTTTATCTGTTGAATATCCATTAGTACGTGTTAGTCGAGCTCAATATGATTCAAATAGAAAACAATTACTAATTAATTTTAATACAGAAAAATCAATGATTTTATCAACAAAATTCGAAATAAAATATCCCAATTTAATATTAAATGTTTCAAATATTACACGTGATGGTTTCGACAGTGGATTCACAATGAATCAAATTTCTAATGACAGAATAAGCATAGAATATTCTTATAACAGTATGGATAAACAAGAAACAGAATTTAACATTTTATTTTATTAGATGTTCCTATTTTTTCATATGATTGTTTGAATTGATTATTTATTTATTTCAGCAGTAATTTTTCAAAACAATTGAAAACTATGATGATGAATATAGTTAAATTATCATAAGACACACATGTGAACAGTACAAAAGCATGGATGAGAATGAAATCTCTTATCATGATAGAGGTAGATTTTCAATATTTGATAATGAAATTCTTGATTTGAATTTGAATACAAATCGACAATTATCTAAAGATCAATCGTAACACAATGAAAAGTTCAAGTTTAGTGAATACCCTTTTTTTCCAAATCAAGATTTGTATTGATATCGTTCAAACAGTGTGAAAAATTGTTTCATTTTTTCTTTCCTGTTGATTCCCAAAACTGAAAATGAGTCGAACGTAAATCGAATAATTTTTCAATCAAAATCAACAATTCGTGAACATTCTTTCACTTGTTTTACTACGTGATTCATTTCTTTTGTCTTTCGCAATAATAACAAAATATATTTCATATTCAGTTAGTTTTCAATCAAACAGTCACTTTTTTCTTAATTGGTTTGATTAATCACTTACAAATATCTATTCGTTCGTCGACAAGCATCTTTCCATTGATAGCCGTCAGAGTCAGTCAATTAGTTTGTTGACACTGTTTGGAACAATCACTGACAAACTTGATACAATTGCCCAGTTTCTGAGAACAGATGAATCAAAGTAACAGAGACAAAGAAGAAACAATAATGTCTAGGACAATAATAATGATAGAGGTCTTTTTTCCAATCCCTATCAACCTAACTTCTATAACAACATGAATTTGATACGCAAATGATATAGAGTTACAGTAACAGCAATATCACCATTAGGAACTTCCACTTAGCTTCGAACTTCTACTGTGACATCGTCAAAGGTGATGCACTTTATGAGAGGGCGTGGGATGTGGGTGTGGGTGTGGGATGTGGGTGCGGGGTGTGGGGTGTGAGTTTTGGTATGTATGGAGGGAAGATTAACATATACACCCACACCCCACACCCACACCCACACGCCACACCCACACCACCCACACCCACACCACACCCCACATCCACACCCTCGAGTATAGATTTTTGGATGAAATTCTTGTTTGAATTTGAACCAATTCTTTATTCAAATTGATTGTTTCAATTCGAATTCAATGTTGAATTAGACATGTTAATGAGTATTTCGCATCTAAATTTATCTTTAGTTTTAAAGCAATGACTTAGATTTGAGGAAATTTTCGGATTTGATTCGTTGATTCACTAAAATCTGTTTGTTATGATACGTAACGGTATAGTAGATTATATTTTGTCTATAGTGGGTATCCTCTTCTTTGTATTCTCTTTTTTCTTCTTTTCTCTTCTTGTTTTCTTCGCCTTTCTTGTCTCCTTCAATGCATAGCCGTCTATACATATAATGGGATACAACAGCACATGTCCTGCTTGTTTTGTGTGCACGTCCAGTTTATTATTTTGTTCTAAAAAAGTTAATGAAACAAAATTAGATTAAATCTTAACTCTGTTCTCCCCTACCTATATGGATAAGACAAATTTTCAATTCTACATCAAAATAAGTACTTCACTTAATATTCAAGCGAGAGTTATTTACGATGAACCATATTCTGTTTTTGGTGATCAAGCACTTGAATGTCGGACAGTAGAACGATGATCTAGATTATTTCGTGAAGGTCAAGAAAAGGTTGAAGATTCAGTGCCATCTAGTAGACTTGTAACCGAGACAACATCTGAAAATATTGAACAAGTTCACAGCGTTACAAATGATGATCTTTATATTTCAATAGAGGAAGTGCAAGTGCAAACTGATCTGATCTGTGACACCATTTAGTGAATAATCTTTGTTCATCTGATATTGTGAAAAATTATCGTTTGTCTTATGTCAAAGCAATTGACTGATTCACAGAAGGTTGAACAAATCTGAATATACAAACAAAATTTAGCAAAATTCGAATCAAGTGTGTGGCAATCATGTTATGTGGTCATAGGTGATGAGTCATGGGTTTACTATATAAACAAATTAGTCGAAACTCATCGAATTCTGTTTGGGTTGCGAGATGTAATTTTCCATATAAAGTGATTCGACGTAGTTATTTTGCTGCGAAAATCTTATTTAACATGTTTTTTAACTTCAACTGGTCCTGTTTTAATTTATCATGTGAAACAGGAGCAAACTCTCGAACATCCATATTACATCGATAACTTTTTGCAACCTCTCATCAAGAAAGTCAAGTAGCAAAGATCCTCAAATGGTGTGCAAGATATCAAATTTCATCACGATAATGGGCGATCATATATTCATTAAAAAGTGTTAAATTATCTCGAATATGAAGGTATCATAATAATTCTACATCCACCTGATTCAGTGCATCTAGTATCATGTGATTTTTGGTTATTAAACTTAGCCAAAGAAAATTTGACTTATCAAAATAATTCATAATCATTCCATTACCCTGTATCCAACTTCATATACTCTCTAAATGAAGGAAAATATAGAAATAAGTTCGATACATGAATTCTACGAATGCAATTGTGAATGAATAACTATATGGCGATTACCTTGAACATTGGATGAAATAAAAGCTTGATGCACTTGCCCATGTATTTCTTTATTTGTTCTACCGTCACTACTTTTCGTATACCCTAAAATGAATAGAATAAACGGCTGGATATGGAAGCAGATGACAAAAAAAGAACACAAAAAGACTGAAGAAGAACAAAGAGAATACACAGTGAACACAAAATATGATCTAAATAATTGTTACACGTCATAAATAAACAGATTTTATCAAAACTTTATTATTATGATATATTAGTTGAAGAATAGTCAAGTATCACAGAAAAAAAAATAGAGAATTGCTTTCGCTATCAGACGATATAGAAAAAAAGTTTCTTTAATTAAGCTTTTCATAAGGCATTAAAATACGTCCACCAGTTCTTTTGGATTTTCCTACGTCTTTTATTTCTTGATAAATCTGTCATTCAACGTATCCAATTACAGTTGAAGATTTTTGTACTTATTATAATTACTTTAGAGTGACTGCTTGAGAACTTAGTTTGATAGAGATTTGCTCAGATCGAACACATTCATATGAAATGTGTTTTTTTCTATTTAGTATCTATATTTTCGACATTTTCTGTCGAGCCCATATTATTCATTTTTGCGATTTGTTTTCTTATGACAACACGTTTTAGATAAGAATTGACTCTACTTACTTCTATATGAGATTTTAGGCGGTTTCACTAGCGACATCTGCTTGATCAATGATTTACTTGTTGCATGCATAATACTTAAAGTTGTTTTTTTCTTCCTCCTCTGACAACGACACCAAATGGAGAATATTTTGACGAATGACACATGGCAACCATTCATCGAACAAGCAACATGCAAAGTTACAATCAATAAAGAGAACATTAGTCATATAAATGGACACAAATGGAAACAAGTTTACATCTGGATCAATATCTATGAATGATATTGTTTATCTTCTTCATGGCTCTACACAACAGCAATACAATGCCAAACAAGTGGACATAACAAATGACACTATTGAAAAAAATGTTCGAAGTTTATTTGAACAAGATTATGTGTGTCAATATATTTCCAATACAAACGGTGAATTATCATTAGCTTATCCACGTCAAATTTTGGTACCTATCATTGACAAATGGTCTGAAGTACAAACACCAAAACTGACAACATCAATCAATATTCGTGATTGTTGTGCTCAATCACGTTTTGCCCGATGCCGATCTCGTCTCGTTGTTCCTACCTTATTCATCAATGGAAAGTACATTTGTCGATCGGCAACTCTCTCTTCTTGGGGTGAAATCTATCCACGGTTGAGTATGGATTTTTTAGGGGATGTTGGCAGCAGAAGTTTCGCTCAACCAATAGCCGATATTGACAATACTTTCAATGACATCGAACAACCTCAACAACGCACTAGTTTTGATAAACTTCGTGGTGCTGATATTGATCTATTGAATATATTCGGTATCGGTTCAATAGTAAACTTGATGGTACAACAGAAAAATGTTCTATTCGGTATGAAAATAACAGCATCAGAAAAGTTAGATAAATACAATCGATATAAAACATTTCAAATGATATCACTTCCCTATCCAGGATGTGAACACTTTCGACAAGTCGGCATAAAGAAATATAATGGTGAATTTATGTTTTACAATTGGTCTCTATCAAAAAATGATGCCATAATTGAAATGCCGATTCATCTTTCTTCACGTGTAAACACTGATTGGTTATTTTGGCAATCATGGAATACCATTCATTTGACACAGAACTATTTGCAAATACTTCTTCGTCATCTTGAAACAGATAAACGTGGTATTCTTATTCATTGTCTTTCAGGATGGGATAGAACACCATTATTCATATCTTTACTTCGTTTATCATTATGGGCTGATGGTTCTATTCATCAATCACTAACAGTTGAAGAAATACTCTATTTAACACTTGGCTACGATTGGTATTTATTTGGACATAATCTACCAGACCGATTGCCACTTGGTGAAGAAATTCTCTATTTTACATTCATGGTTCTTCCATATTTAGTTGGTGATGAATTTGTTTTTCAACCATCGAATACTACCCGTCAACATTCGACATTGACAACATCTCGACTTAGTTGTAGGTATTTGCCAGAACATCAGGTTTACAATAGTAACACATCCTATATGAATATTTTAGCTGATTCAGTAATCAATGCTGATCGACATTCATATCAATTTAATTCGATTGGTTTTGAAGAAAATAAGAAAACGATTCGCACACAGAAATTACTTGCTGTTTTTCATCTGTTTCATACATGCTATCGAACTGTCATACCGGAAAATGCGACTACATTGAACAATCGTCCACAACTGGTACCGAAAATGACTCGTATGATAAAAAACTTTGTGTTACAAAAACGATCGTAATTTCATCGATGTTTTTAATAAGTTATAAAATGCCGAAGTTGAAATCGAAATATAATATTTGTTTTGTTCTTTTGTGAAACACGATTGTAAATGATTGTCGAAGTGTAAAGCAAGAGAAATTACCCTCAGACTACCATCACATACAGGCCGACGTGGTAATAGAGATTTTTTATCTTTGAGCAACCGGATGTTTATAAGACGCTTTGGATTTTGAATTAGATTGAAATATCTAAATAAAAAAGATCAATTTCTCATTCTCTTCGTACTGTATTTCAGTCCAAATTACAAGTGGCCAAGATGATTGGAGATAATTTTCTCTTGATCTTGTTGTAAATTGTTATGAAAATAAAAATATAGAGAGTGGATGATGTTCATCTCTTCCAACACATTCGTCCACCGTCAGTTACAAGATTGAAGTTGAATTGAAACTACATTATTTCAAGATATCATCAGTTTTTAAAATCTATAATTCATGGCTTTTAATAAGTCAATATATTTTGGTAAATGTTCTGGTGATAAAGCCTGCAATAGTGTATTTAATTAATAAAAAATGCTCTAAATTTTAGGACCAGTGAGATAAGCAAAAGTTTCGACAAAAGGCTCATTTTGCGATTGATTCAATTATAGTCTTCAGCATGGTGCTTTTACAACGAGGTATATAATAACATAACTGCAGGAAGAAGAAAATATCTCGGTGAGATCGATAGATCCGTTCGATTGAGGTTTCGCATGATGATATTTGAAAGAAGCCCTATGTAAATTGAACTAGGAAACACCTGGAGCAAAATGCTGAATCATCTCAGTAAAAAATTTCCGATTCACTATAGGATTATTGTGAAATAAAATCCAATTTAATAGACTCCTAACATCACTGAGCACAACCAACTTTTAACCAATTTAGTTTTTCGTTTTCAATGATTATGTATAATAGCAAAGTGATTATTTTTTGTCACAACCAATCCAAAGAGTTCTCCAGGTAAGCTCTCCAATCAGTAACATTTATTTCTGATCGATGGATCCACTCCTTAATCTACTTCGATCAACATGATGAAACAAAGGAACAATCATCTAAGATATATCTGAGAGTATCGATCTATGATACTTTATAAAATATGCACAGTACTATAGAGTGTTTATTGGAAATACATAAAATTATCACAGATCTATTCAATGTTTTCTGCTAGTGAATTATGTTTAATTAAGACGCTATTGCATAAAAAAATATTTAAAATCTTGCCTTTCTATTACTAAAAAGCTAAAATTGTTAAGTACTTTCATTCTCAACATATTTATATGATAGTAACCATTATTATATTCTGATTGCTATATGCATTACGCGACAACTGAACGGTATACTCACTTTGTGATGCAGAGACTTTTTGTTTCTCATGCTGTTACAAATTCTCCTCAGCTAAATACAGAAAAAGTTTATATTTTTACTACTGATTGTAAACCACGAATTGGTTGATTTACAAAATTTGTACATTGAAAAAATGTACAAGTTAAAAGTCATCGTTCGATCACTTTTAGTTTACCTCAAGTACTCTTGTTTACAAGTATGTGATATGAATAAAGCATACAAAATGTTTTATTCAAAATAAAATTTTTCTTTTAGCTTATTTTTATCGAAGATAAACACAGAAGTTAACTTAGATATTGTCATTTACACAAAAACAATTAGAAATTAAAACAATACACAGACATTATCATCTTTACTTTATATTATTTTGAACATCAAACATCTCCGCATTTGAAACACCAAAAATTATTTTTTCTAGAAACAGTTATATAGACTTCATATAATTTGGAAAAGATAATCGACATGTATAAAAAGATTAATTGTTTTATTGTCATTGAAATAAATAGAAAATCACGTAATCCATCACACTGATGCTCATATAAGTTTTTCTGTTGAGATGGGGAAAGAGATACGAACAACATAGTATCGAATAGTAGTATTATTCGAAATTTTATCATGGAAGTGATAGAGATTTTCAAAATGGTCTCAATCGATTATATCTGAGTTGATTCCTAGATTAATTTTGCACTAGTAAAACAAAATGAATAGCACAAGTCGGAAGATTTTCTATATTGCATCGCACTGGTTCGTTTGATTATTGAGATACTTTTGAATTCCGGAGAAAACAGTTTGGGTTGTCAAATGTACATTTTTGTATTGTGCAAAAATATCTAAAAAATGAACAAGGCGATGAAAAAATAAGGCGTTGAGGATTTCTACTAGAGTGATTTGAATAAAGTAATTTAGGGATAGTTCAAATCAACTCGAAAAAAGTCTTGGATTTTTGTTATAAATTTTCTTCAGTGTATACTCTTGCAACAAGTTCATTTGTCAGTTAATAGAGAACTCTTTGGACTTGTTGTGACAAAAATAAACATGATGTTACTATAGAGAACATATTTGGAACTGGATTAGTCGGTCTGCAGAATACCAATACGGTTCGGTTGAACTTTTCAAATTGGTCGGTTTTCATTGATGTTTTCTTGTGGACTATTTGGCTCACTAAGCTTGGTCTATTCTTCTCGTTTGTAACGATTTCCATAGTTTTAAGAATCAAAAGATATTAGTCTGTAAGTTTCCAACTGACAAATTTCCAGTCGTTGTCAAAACTGCAGCTCTTAATATTGAGCGAACACATTGTCATCGTAGAATGAAAGCATCGGATCATGTTGAATGAATTTATTATCTTCAAGAAAAGTTAGCCAACACTTCAAAACTTAATTCGGTCTAAGCTAAAGAATTTCCATCTCAAAATTTCGAGCTGACTTCTTCGGACAACTCTCAAAACCGACTCTCATAAAATCTCAATAGTTAGTAGTTTTCAGCTCAAGGTTTCATTACAATATGTCAGACAATTTTCCGTTCTGTTGTCAAGATATTACTAGATACTAGCATTGTGCAACGATGAAAATATATAGATATTAAGAAATCTTAAAATAGGAAGTTTAATATAAAAACAGGAAATTTCAGCTCACCCTATCTTTCTATCGGTAATAGTATCCTTTTACAAATTGAGATACTTTTCAGTTGTGCTAAGTAATTACTTCAAATAAGAATAGATCAAACTTCTCAATTGTAAAGAAATCATATAATTATAGAAAAAAGTCAGTCAAAGGATAGTATAGATATTTCTCAATAGGAATTTCTGTAAGTTCCTAAATGAATCGTTTTGAAAGAAATCTTCGTTTCGTTTGTTGTTAATACTAACACATATGATACATGACAGACTAAAATAGAAATTGTTATAATTAGCGAATCCTAGATTGAAGTGAGTTTTACATTGTATGTCTTTGTAGAACTGAAGCAATAGGATGTTTCTCGAAAGTACTGATTGGTTATTTGATATAGTTAATGTTCTAGTTTTTCACCAGTTAAATCAAGAAGTTCAACCGGACGGTTCAACTGAAAAAGATCCGACTAGTTCCAAATATGATTTACAATCATTGAGAAAGCACAAAAACAAAATAGATTTGTAAAATTTTGATCCAAATTACTACAGATAACTCTATTATTTGAAAAACTATGAATAATGTTCGAATCGTTAGCACAGATAACCTCTTATTCTTAGACTATAACTCAGTAAACAAAAAAAAAATAATTCTATAGAATAATGAAGAGTTGACAAATATCTTATGGTTTTCATAATTGTCTTCAATTTAGAAGTTCTAAAAATTTTTGAACTTTAGCATTTGCTCTCTAAGCAATGTTCATATTCATTGTAGAATTAAATGTAATGACTCTTGATATATAAAACTGTGTCGCTGTTAAAGATCACATAGCATGCGATTGAATAGCAGAATTCGGTTAAGGTAGAAGTGGCGAAATATTTGACGAAATTGAAGATGATGGATAAGGGAGCAGTGAAAGTAGTCATTGTTCAAAAAAATCAGCCCGTATTGGTGATAAATTATTAATTTCTGAAATAAATACAAGTGTTGACACACCCATATTTACTAGTAAAAATAAGCTTGGCAATGAAAGTGACGGAAGTGATCCTGGTGGTAGAAGACTAGCTGATGGCATAGAAATTGTTTGTTTCATCGAAGGATATATTGTCGCATTATGATTTTGGTTCAAAATGTGATAACAATGATGAAGGTGGGGTGGAGCTTGTCGAATAATGATCGGTGAATGAATTTTAAATCTTAGTGATGACTCTGTATTGTATCCATTTGTCGACGATTTCGTTGTCTCGGTAAAACTAAAATTGATTGCCATGGATTGTTGTTCACGATATGATGAAAATAATGATAATGTTTGATTAGCATATTGCACTAAATTTGAATGTTGACAAAGATTATTGTTTGGATATATTGCAAAAGAAGACAGTGATTTGTTGATGAATAGACGTGTTATTGTTATGATCGAATATTATCACGGGCGACAAAATGATGTTCTCTACGATGACGAATAAGATTTTGAGAACTATGATATTGTTATTTTCAAATGGTTGTCAAATAAGAGAAGATTGAGATGATGACGTGAAATACGAAGCATAAATCAATTCTTGATGTCTAATTTAGATTCTTTCTAAAAACAAGAATATTTCTCTTTCTAATGAAATCGTGAAAATTGCTTTTCTTTCTACTAGTGTTCGAAATCTTTCCTATTTACAAGATCGATGTGCACAATGATTTTATAGGAAATAAATCATAGATTGCATCAGTAAATTTTAAAAAAATGAAAGATTAATGTAAAATTTTATTGAGTAGCGGCCATGATTTTTATGAATACCCAAAAATTATGTATTCAATTTTTTTCACTGGAAAATATTAATCGATAAAGATTAAGTTAATGAAGGGTAGATACTGCTTCGGCTTGTTGATAAATTAAACAAAATGATTATGGCCTTGTAGCACGATTAACCACTTATTGATCAATATGAATTACATTTGCAAATGGTACTTGTACTTGACTTAGATTAACCTGGTCAATTGTGTTTATTAAAAGGCATTGCATTCATTTTAATAATTATGCTCATATTTGACCGATTGAGAATATTTCATTCTTCAAGTTTTGTTCGCCTTTAATAGGCATGTCTAAAATACGAAAACATTTTTGGTTGGAAATTTTAGTTTTCTATTTTGAACTAGAATATTGATGACTACAATAATATACCTTAATTCAATTAACAAGCTTCGTGTAATAGTCCTAGAAAGAGAAGTTATCATTACTTTGCGACGACGAAGTAACTGTATACCAGTTGGAAAAGACGTACGATCTACAGATCAATTATCAAAACTTCAGGTTGAGATAGCTGGATTCAAAAACGTTCAAAAATTACCTATAGATTTGAGTTCCCTGATCCAGAACATCATTAATCAAGTTTTATAAACGAGATATTGAATACTTCCAAGGGCTTTCTGAGAGTTTGGTAGGACTTGATCAGATTTCATGTAATTTCAGACACGAAGTATCGATTGTTTCTACGTTGCAAAACTCATTGTGTCAAAGAAAACAAACAGTTATTAATCAATATATTCATTGTAGGACAATAATACTTGAAGAAAAGAAAAAAAAGTCATATCGAAAATTCAGAGAAGTTTAATACTTCTTCGATATTTCATTTTTTTAAAACTAATTGCATCAAAATCAGTAGTGGTTGCAGTCAAATGATAACGTTGCACACACTAGTCATATTAATAAGCAATTTATTAATAATAATACATTTCAAATAAAGGAACCATTAGCTAGCACACAGAAAATCTTTGATCAGTCGTCAAATACAAAGTTGCAAGTAAACAATCAAAATTAAAATATTAAAGAACTCGAATGATGTCTAATAGAAAAGTCTTAAATATTGATATTAGCTATATAATATATTCGGTATTGTCTATGGAAAACAGAGACCGTCACGGAACAGGAATGTCCTGTTGAAACTTGATTGCAAAATTTTGATTGAGTAACATTTTTATTGGTGAGCCTATGACAGCACTTGAACAAAGTATTTAAAACACTTAAAATCTATTCACCATTTCTCCTTGATCTTTTGTTCTCTTATACTTCTGTTCCAATCAGAATTATTTTATTTTAGTACTCTTCGATGATGCATGAACTACGAAACAGAAGCGAGTAGTTTCAATTATGAGAGAGAACTATTCTATTTTCATCACAATTTCTAAGAAACATCTTTAAGATGTCTATTACGATGTATAGTAATAAGAAAAAAGTACTTCTGTATGCCTATTATCATCTATGGTACATATAGGATCTAACTTTTTTGTTACATACTTGAATATTGAATGCAGTCATAGTTATTATAAGTGATGTTTCGAAAAATATGCAGGATGTTTCTTCTCGATTTTTAAACTTATTATGAATAAAAAAAAAAAGAGTCAAATGTAGCTTTGCTCTATGACAATCTCTGAAGAAAAAGTAATGTTTTCCTTTTATTTCTTTCAATATTGAACCAATACAATTTTCAATAATTGTACAATAAAATATTCTTGATGTAATGTCCTATCATTCCAAAGATGCAACAATTTGATCAGACATACATGGAAAGCAATAAACTTCAAAGAAAAATGTGCACGTCTTTTTGTTTTTGCAAATAACTATATATGTTTATAATCAGATCTATATGATGTACGACTACTGATTAGAGAATTTTCATAGACTAAAAATGAAAAAATACGATAGTTCATTTTATTTTTGATAATATGTTAGTGTTTCATTTTCAAATGAAATGGTAGGGGTTTATTATTATCTTTTTCATTATGTTCATAGTCAATAATTATTTTTCGAATCACTTCTTTTGGTAAAACAAACCAAATAAATTCTTTATACGCATCTGGAATATTTAACGGTGGATCAGTTCGAAAATCAATATTTTCATAAACATATTTTGGTATAATATTTGCCATTGATTTAGCTTCCTCGATTGGATCATCTGAAGATGAATTTATACTTGATTGCTCAAAATTTGAATTCTATAGGAACAAAATATGTGTATATAATTAATGATAGAAAAATCAATTTTAATTACCCAACGTTCGACTTGATGTTTTTCGGATTTGTCTTTCATTGTACGATTTCTATTAGCCATTTGAAGACTATGAAATTGAGAAAAATGATTATCCAATGGCATATTACGAGGATGCCAAACAGCTGTATTTATATCATAAGTATACTGAAACAAGCAATATAGATAATTTCTATTAAATTGAATTTTTGAAAAAAGACAATTTTTACCAATGATAAAAATTTCCATCCGTCATTCGCGATAAATTCAACTGCATTTAAAATATAATTAACTTCTTCATCACTTGCAAAATATGATAAATTAAATCGAGTAAAACCAGGTTTGACTAATGCATTTTTAGGAAATTCATCCAACTGACCACTAAAATTTATATCAATGATTTCTAAAAATTTATTTATTAAAACTTACTTTTCCTCTGCTGTAATAAATCTTGTAAGACCTTCTGCTGTTTTATCATCAATTTGAAGTAGATCCTAAATAAAAAAGAAAAATGAATTTTTCTTCAGAAATTCTTCCTCTAGACTTCACTTACTAAAACATAAGGTCCAGCACAAGAACATCCTGATCGTACTTGAATACCAAATAAATCATTTAGTAAAACACAAACAAAATTATGATGTAAGTATTTGTTAAAGAATGGTACATAAAGAAGAAATGAAAATATGCCTAGCCGAGAAATAGTTGATGAGCCAAGTACAATTAATTTTTCATTATGTCGAAATCGTGCAAAGAATTTTGCAACTAATGCATCTTCACATGCTTCAATTGTATCACAACCAACACATTCTTTTAAATGAAAAACTAAACCAGCTCGAATAGAACCAAGAATGTTGGGTGTTCCACCTTCTTCACGTGTTTCAATATCTTTTACATATTCAGTATGTCTTCGAGTTACAAAATTAACTGTACCACCTCCAACAGATGTCGGAACTAGATTGTTAAAAAGTTTTTTCTTAGCAATTAAAATACCTGAATGTAAAAAACAAAAATAGAATTATTTTATAATAGATTCAATTTTTTTTTCAATGAAGTTAAAATCAACCTGGTGTCGATGGTCCACCAACAAATTTATGTGCAGAAATAAAAACAGCATCTTTATAAGTCATATCTGGTGTATTCATATCAATTTTAAGATAAGGTGCTGCTGCTGCATAATCCCAAAAAATCCAACCACCATATTGATGAACAAGTTTTGAAATACGATCAACATCAGTTCGAATACCAGTTACATTACTCGAAGCATTGAATGTACAAATAATATGTTTTTTAACCTCGTTATGATAATGTTTTAATTGTCTTTTTAAATAATCTCGATCAATAAGACCTTCTGGAGTATTAGGAATTCGTATAAACTATAGATAAATATAATGATTTTCTAGATGAAATATCACGAAAAATTTACCTCAATTCCTGTTTCTTTCCACGGTAATATATTTGAATGATGTTCAAATGTACTAACAAAAACAACAGTTTTTTTTTGAACATCTATATTTTTCAGTTGTAAAACATCGACAAGTTTATTGATAGCAGCTGTTGATCCTATAAACTAGTCGATTGCTTGATTTAACATTTAACTAAAGAACATTTATTCATTTACCTGATCCAGTAAAAATAACAGCATCATCATTAGTTGCATTGACACATCGTTTAATCATATTTCGTGATTCTTCACGAAATTTCGTAGTTTGTAATGCGCATGCATTATTTTCACTATGTGTATTAGCATAACTAAAACAAAAGATTATATTATTTCTTATTTTCGAAACAAAAATTATTCTTACTAAGGTAAAACATTATTCATTATACAATATTCTATAAATATTAAACCACGTCCAGATGCTGTATAATCAGCGTAAGTAACTGTAGCAGAACAATGCATTCATTTATAATAATAAAAATAGTTAGTCGTACTTTTTCGAGATCCCCATGGAGTATTGATCCGAAGATTTTTACCAATGATACTTGAATCAATATATTGAAGGAGTTGTTGTTTGTCTATGTAATGTATATTAAAAAGATTATGTATGTTTTTTTTTGTCTTTTGAAAATAATTTTATTAGTGGGGAATCATTTGATAAAGCTAATAATAGATAAAATGTTCTCGACAAGACAATGATTCTGTTTGATTGGGCTACAATAAACAAGAATCTGATTCGTCTCAGAAATGTGCTATTATAATTTTTATAATTCTGTTCTAACTCTAATTATAAAATGCTCTGCACTCTCTCGTCTTATTCTAGGAGAACAAATTCTTTCGTATTCCCTTTTGCAAATTATGCTATCATTCTTCATGCTCCTTGTTGTTATTTGAAAAGTGACCAATCTAGTTACAACTTTAAATAAAGCTGAAATTTTCCATCTCTGACATGAATTAAGTTTAAAAAAAAAACAAACAAACTATGTTTAAATTGATTGATATCGGGAAACATTGGCGATGTTTTACTTCCATTTAGTCTAAATAATTGAACTACAAGTTCATCAGCAGATTCCGTATTCGATGTAGTTATAGATTGATTGAAATTGTTTGGTACTAGCGAACGGCTTAATGAATCAAGTGAATGATGCAATGATTTCACCAATGAATGATTCTGTAAGAGACAAATGATTTTGAAAATAAGTTATTTAGTTCTTGTTTACTGATGTTTGCTGTTGTTGACCTTTAAAAAGTGTTTTTGGCTCTGTCTGATTTTCATCCAATGATGTATATCGGGATCCTACTTCTCTTGAATTGGTTCGAAATAAAGTAGGCTTATCTGATTGCTTATCCTTAAATTTCTCTGAATCAATCAAAATAAAAACTTATTTAAGAAAAATAAAGGCAAAGATTTACCAGGATTCGTCAAAAATGCTTCGGCAGCAAACTAATGTAAATTAATAAAATAAAATAAAAATTATTACATGTTTAAATTCTATTCAATTTCATCATTTAAGTGTAGACTTACGTACAGAGACATCCCATTCGTACATGCGCAAAAAATTAATGACTTGTTGTCGATCTTTCCAGTTAGTTAGTGCCTATAAATCAATAAAATAAGAGTGAATTAGGACATTTATAATAGAACTTTACTTGAAAATACTCAATTTGCTGATCTCTTGTTTCAGCCATTACAATTTTGATTGAAACTAAATAACAAAAATAGGTCGTATTATTCACATATGTATATGTCGTATCGAAGTTACACCGGTCGACGAAGTTACAACTTCGACAGAGAAACTTGTCGAAGTTATTTTGAATTCACTTATCAATAAATAATTTATTGAACTGAGTATTCTACTGTTGAATATATGATCAAAAAATAAAATTTTTACTAATAAATATTAATTTTTGTAACAATATCGTGGAATAAATGAACATTTATTAGTAAAAATTTAATTTTTGGATCATATATTCAACAGTAGAATATTCAGTTCAATAGANACGCAGCGAGACGCATCATTTCTTTCCATGCCTTTTGCCAGCATCCCTCAGATGCTGCAGACCCATGCTCTCATGGACGACTTGCCGATTAGGGGCCGTTGTCAGCATGCTCTCTTGAGTAGCTTGCCTATTGATATTGGGCAAGAATATCATCAACTCATTACATTACTCAAATTTCTTTTCCTTACTTGAAGTCTTGAGTCTGAGTATCTGTTTTGATCAGTTTTCGTTCAGTTATTTTTTCTTTGGGAGATTTCACCGTCTCTTTTGCGTTCAAGGTACGATTACCATCGACGTGTTTGTTGGTAAGCTGGACTCTCTGTACTGTGATAACTTCCACATCACGATTGTCATCGGCGATCTCTGCTGTTTTTTCGCCTTCAACACGATTGTAGCCTGACAATGACCAATTCGCCTTCTTCATTTGATCGAAATTGGTAGGTTTCTGTCTAAAATATCCTTCGTTATGTTATAATTTTCGATAGTAATGGTAAGAAAAGCACTTACAGGAGAGTATATACCTCTTTAGAACGACTTTCATTACCAATCGTATTATCAGGTGAGCCATTCGTATGATTTCGCTGGAAATAACCATCACGAATCGATAACATGAAAAATCGAGATAAATTTAAAATGGATATTATTAACCTTTTGAATTTGTTGAATGAGTCGATATTGAAGCAGTTCAGTTGCACTTGGTCTTTGATTGGGATCTTGCGTGAACATTCTACACACAGATGCAAATGAGTTGTTTTTGACATTTTTTTTTCGTATAGTGAGCAGTGTTCGAATTAGTTTTACAGCGAACGCCAGCAAACAACCGTGCCATTGAAAATTAGTGCTACAACTGATCTCAACCTCATGTATATTTCTGTTGCGACCCAATGTCAACTGACTAATAAACAATCATTCACTTTTGAACTTCCAGCTAAACAAATTAGAGCCCTAGTATAGGAGAACGCATGAGCATTTTTCATGTATGAAGACAATAAAAACTATTGCGTTTCGGAAAGCCTTCACGATATATCGGTGATTATGTCTTTGATTAATTCGCATATAATCGATATTTTAGAGTCACTTGTTTCCAATATTGTCTCGTCCGGTTACTAGCTGCTTGTCGTTAAATTTTATTTAGAATTCTCTATTGTCTATGGTAGCATGTTGCAATGAATAACATTTCATAGAAATTCGTTGACAATATATTTTCAGTAATCCATCTAATTAGTTTTCCTCTCTTTTGCACTGCAGAAAGCGAGAAAAAATAAATTTTTTTTTGTGGCCATATTTGTTTTTATGTACACTTTTAATTTCGAGAGCTTAGATTTAAAGGACCTCTCAGTTGAATAAATAACTCTACAATGACTTTAGCATATGATTCACATACAATTACCGAATAGAATTTCTCAGAATCATCAACGAAACTATTGCAAGTATTTATTCTTGTTCGGCGTTGAAGAAAAATTTAAAAAAATACAAGAAAATATCGCTTAACATTAAGATTCGTTAGAAAAACCAACCATATTTCACTCCAAGACCCAAATAGTTATCTGAAACTCAAAAGCAATCTCATAAGCTTACTTTTTCAGCATCTTATTGAGTTCGTAGGAGTACATTTTCGGTAAGTCAGGTGGCTTGCCCTCGACTACTTTGTGAATAACACTCATCAAACCTTTTCCGTTGAAGGCATGTTGAAATGTACATATCTCAAACAGCAGACATCCGACTGACCTCGAACGAGAAAGAAATTAAACTAAAACAATCTTGCATTTGATTGTTTTCTTACCATATGTCTGATTTCAACCAGTACCTACCATACTTCATGACCTCAGGAGACATGAAGCATCTATCGAACGAGAGAATACAAGTAATACTTCAAATGAAAATTAGTTCTTCTCATCACTTACGGTGTACCAGTAAAAGTGGTGGCTATATCTCTTGCTCTACCCATAATTTGACTTATGCCGAAATTACCAATTTTCAGCTTTTCGAAACTCAAAAAGATGCTTCGTGGTTTCAAATTTCGATGAACTATTCCAGATTCGTGCATATATTGAACAGCAATCAATATTTGAATGAGCCATTCGATCACTTGATCTTCATTCACCGGCTGCTTGAGTTTCTTCAGTTCCTTGAGACGTTGATCTAGGTCGCCACCTTCACAGTATTCGGTCACAATACAGTGACAATCATTTTCTATGAAACTCTCATAGAACTAAATAACCAAAGGAACATGCCATTTACGAAATGAATAGTACGCTAATATTATTTTTACTCTCTGCCTACTTTCACAATATGCTCATTGCTCAATTTTGACAGTATATCAGCTTCACGTACATAATTGAGCGTTTCCTCTGGATCCATCTCACCCAAACGAACAACTTTCAATACTTTCCTGATAGGAAATAGTTAACAGAACAGAATTGCACTTGTATGTGAAACAATAGATAATACATACAGTTCATGTTTTGCTATAAGGTCTGCTACAAGATAGGCTGTGCCAAAACCACTAACACCCAACTTCTTTTCTATTCTATACCGTTTCTTGTATATTGGTGTGTTCATATTATCTGCCATAGCAAGATTAGAATCAGTCAACATTCAAAAAATCTACAAAGAAGCAAACGATAAAAATGTATGCATCACAAATTGGTGACTATGATCTGTTAGTTGAACAAGCCACGACGCTCAATAACTCATTCAGTACAAGTTGATTGATCGCAGTACATGCGTGGGATTTGATAATGTACCGAAATCGAGCAGAATGATATTATTAGTCACGGTCAGATCATATCGTTGTCATTGATGTCGCTTATGAAGATAATTATAGATACATGAGAATTTTTCTGTGCCGACCACTTCTTGCGCTTTTCTATTTATTTCTAAACTATAAGGCAATCTACGGTGGATCGTTTGATTTATCTACTATAGAAATTGATCTTTGGCTCTTTCACACACGTAGCGAAGGAGGGGATGTTACTGAAGAGAAGATCCACACCAACCTACATATTCTAAAATAGTAATCGAACTCATAAAATAGTATACCGACAAATTTCGAGACCTTTTCCAGTGTATTCATTATTAGGTGAGATATGCCAAAATCATCCAGTTTGAGATGATTTCGTTTCAAAAACATGTTATTAGTTTTAAAATCACAATGAAAAGTTTTATGTTTGTGGATGAATTCTATTACCTAGATAAGTTGAATAAAAAAATTCAATGAATTGATCTATGTCACCATTCTATGCAACAAAACACAATGAAAGACTTACCAGAAGTGAAACTTTATGTTCCACATTCAGTGATTCATACGACGAAATATCGATAAGAAAAAATATGATCTTCAACACATTTCTAGAAGACATGAAAACTGAAATGAAAGACTATAGGTTATTGTTATGGCAGCCATGCCTTTGCATTTCTCAATTTACAATCTTCAACTGAATAGGTAGTAATGTAGTTTT